CTTTTTGTTTGAATTTATTTCTGAGTGTTTTATTGTTTTTGATGGTATTGTAAATTGGTCTGCCTTCTTCATTTCATTATCAGAAATTGTGTTGTGCCCTATCAGTGGTTAGAGCATCGGGCTGCGAACTGGAGGTCCCGGGTTTGATTCCGGTCAAGGGCACATGCCCGGGTTGTGGGCTCGATCTCCACTGCGGGACTTGCAGAAGGCAGCCGATCCATGATTCTCTCTCATCATGGAGGTTTCTATTTCTCTCTCCCTCTTCCTTCCTCTCTGAAATCAATAAAAATATATTTTAAAAAATTTTGTTGTTAGTGTATAAAAATGGAAGTGATGTTTGTATGCTTATTTTTGTGTCCTGTATCTGTTCTGAATTTGCTTATTAACTTCAGAAGTTTTTAGTGGAATCTTGACAATTTTCTGTGTGCAGTGCCATGTCATCTCCCAACAACTCATGATGCTTTGTGGTTCAAAGTGTCGGGTGTTATGTCTTTCATTTCTGTTTTTGTTTACTTGTACCTTGTTTCTCTTGTTTTAGTCTAACTAATGTTTTGGCAATTTGGGGCATCTTATCAAAAAACAGCTCTCCCTACCTGGTGTTTCTCAATCGTTAGAACATCGGCCCGGGGATCCAAAGGTCTCGACTTCAATTCTTGATCAAGAGCATGTACCTGGGTTGTGGGCTCATTTCCCATCCCCTGTAGGAGTCCACCAGTCAATGTGTCTCACATCTGTGTTTCTATTTCCTCTCTCCGCCTCCCTCCCTCCCTTGCACTCTCTCTGAAGCAATGGAAAAAATATCCTCAGGAAAGGATTAACAAACAATAAAATAAAAAACCCCAAAAACATCAGTTCTTAGTTATGATATTAATTTTTTTTGCCTTTCTTGTTTCTATTTTATATATATGTCAGTTCTAATATTTTTTCTTAATTTTTTAAAATATACTTTTAATTGATTTCAAAGTGGAAGGGAGAGGGGGAGAGAGATAAAAACATCAATGAAGAGAGAGAATCATTGATCAGCTGCCTCCTGCATGCCCCACATTACGGATCAATCGTGCAACCCAGATATTTGCCCTGATGAGGAATCAAACCACAAGCTCCTGGTTTGTAGGTTGATGGTCAACTACTGAGCCACACTGGCTGAGCTCCTGTCTCCGTTTCCCCCCTTGTCTCTGACATCCCAGTGAGCTAACTGCAGGCCCAGCTTGGCACCCTGCTTTCCCATAACCTTTCCAAGGGGCCAGAGCGCTCTCCTGTTCTCTCCTGTTGCTTCTTCTACGCTAAATTCTTTCTTTGTTTCTGTGTCCCTAGCTTTAATAAGTGCACTCTCAAAATCACCCGGACTCCTGCTGACATATCTTGCCCACTCAAATTAATAAGCCCACCCAGTATGGTCTGGCCTGAGGCAGATCTGCTGCACCCTAGTCCCCTTTCGGTAACAACTTGATGTACCTAGAGATTGTTTCCTGTGTGGCTTGACAAGAATTCCTCTTCTCCCCCTAGCCGGTTGGGCTCCGTGTGGATAGAGCTTTGGCCTGCAGACTGAAGGTTCCCAGGTTCCATTCCAGCCACGGCCACATGCCTGGGTTGCAGGCTTGATTCCCAGTAGGGGGCATGCAAGAGGCAGCTGATCAATGATTCTTTCTTTCATTGATGTTTCTATCTCTCTATCCCTCTCCCTTCCTCTTTCAAATCAATAAAAAATAAATATTTTTTTAAAAAAGAATTCCTTTTCTCCTGCATTTGGATGGAATTTTCTATTTATATTCAGGATTAGAGTTCCTCCAAAGTGTAGTTAAACTTCAGTAATTCTGTATTCATGTCAGATGGGATGATCTAGACCAGTGATTCCCAAAGTGGGTGCTACCGCCCCCTGGTGGCGCTGCAGCGATCCAGGGGGGCGTTGATGGCCACAGGTGCATTTGTTTTAACTTTTTTTGTATTACCTTTCTATTCTGAGTTCAATAAATAGCTTCATAATTTCAAACTTCAATGTTTCTAATTTACACCTTTCTTTACTATATTTTACGAAAAAGGTAGAAACATTAATACATATATCTTTCTGTTTAATTGCTATTAAAATTTAAAAAAATTAATTTCCAGGGGGCGCTGAGTAATATTTTTTCTGGAAAGTGGGCGGTAGGCCAAATAAGTTTGGGAACCATTGATCTAGACCAGCAGTTGCCAACCAGTGGTCCATGAGGTCTGAAATGTTTGCGACCACTGATCTAGACTATGTGAAAGAGGAATATTATAGTTCTTTATTAACATATATTTTTTTCTTCTTTCAGATCTGATATTATTTGCTTAATGTACTTAGTTTTTCTGTCCTTGGGTGCATATTACTTATTGTCATCTTGATTTTTGTTATGTTTATTGGGTAAGTCGTGGCCAAGGGGATTTTTCTCGGAATTTCTGCCAACATACTTTATAGGGTTCTCTGATTTGTAAAGTGCAGTGTTGCAGGGGCTGCTGTGGATCCTAAGAGCAAAGTTTCTCAAGGACCATCACAGAACAGGCCACTAGGGTCACCTAGTGCAAGCTCTGCAGATAACGGGGCATCTTCACCCCTTTTGTTTTGACCCATGCCATTTCCACGTGGGTTTGCTCACCTAGTCAGCCTATCCTCTTACTCTCTTTACCGCTGTCCAATCTTGCCTGATCAGCATTGGATATACACATATCTTTGTATTGACCTGGAACATCACCTGCTCTTTTTCAGTTAATTTTTATGGGTTTATGCCATTCTTTTGTTAAAACTATATTTTTATTGATTTCACAGAGGAAAAGAGATGGGAGAGAGACATAGAAGCATCAATGATGAGAGGGAATCATTGATTGGCTGCCTCCTACAGGCCCCACATTGAGGATCGATAGCTCAACCCCAGCATGTCCCCGAACCAGGAATCAAACCTTTACTTCCTGGTTCATAGCTCAACACACAACCACTGAGGCATGCTGGCTGGGCCACATTCACATTCTTGTATAAAGCCTCGTGGAATGAGCAAGAAATGTCCTGTAGGAAGCCATTTGCAGAGGAACAGCTAATAGATCCTTCCTCGTTGTGTATCATTCTAGCCCAGCCGTGGGCAAACTACGGCCCGCGGGCCGTATCCGGCCCGTTTGAAATGAATAAAACTAAAAAAAAAAAAAAAAAAAAAGACCGTACCCTTTTATGTAATGATGTTTACTTTGAATTTATATTAGTTCACACAAACACTCCATCCATGCTTTTGTTCCGGCCCTCCGGTCCAGTTTAAGAACCCATTGTGGCCCTCGAGTCAAAAAGTTTGCCCACCCCTGTTCTAGACCATGTTACTCTCTTTGTGGATTCCTCCCCTCCCCCTATTTAGGGACCATTTAATGTATAAAAGCCATTTTCTCAGATTCTAAGACATGTGTCTTGAACATCATTCCATAGAATCATGCCTTGGTGTGATAGATGGACATTTATGATGAGATTTCCATTTTTTTTTCTTTTTAAAATATATTTTCATTTATTTCAGAGTGGAAGGAAAAGTGAGAGAGAGAAACATCCATGATGAGAGAGAATCATTGTTTGGCTGCCTCCTACAAGCCCCTGACAGGGGATTAAGCCCGTAATCCAGGCATGTGCCTTGATTGGGAGTCAAATCCTGACCTCCTGGTCCATAGGTCGAACCACTGCAGCCCAGCAAGACTACCTTCTGCTATAGGACCAACATGTAATTCACCAGGCTTTCCTTTTGTTCAGGTTGCTGCTGTGGCAGTCCGGATCTGGAGGCGTCCACTGAACAGAGCGTTTCTGCAAGAGTGTCACAGGCACCGAAGACCAACGTAGCTTCGTCTTCCCAGACGAGCCATCCCTGTGCGTGTTGTGCTGCAGTCTGGAGGGACATTTTCCAGGTGCTTGAGCAGCAGGGAACGCAATATAGTACGACACTGCTGAGATGTGGCGCATGTGCAAAGTCATTTTATTTTAGTGCCCAGTTTCACCAGCATCATAAGCAGCACATGAGAGCAAAGTGTGTGGCCAGGGCCTCACTTGTGAAGAGCTGCACATTCAGTGTGTCCCAGAAGGTTAGAGACAGCATCCTTACTGCCTCCGGACAACTCCAGCACCAGGCTCCTCATCCCAGGACGAAACCAAGTGAAACCTCCATGTCTGGGGTGACATTTCAAAACAAAAAAAGTTACCATAGCAAGAAAGACTGTAAAAAAGCCATTCGATGCAACGACACACTTGGTCCAGGTCAAGCCGTCCATACTGGAAGGCAGTGTTTTGCAGACACCAAAAATAAAAAATATTTTAAAGAAATCTCTGGACTTAATTATCATCTGAAAGTTCCCTCATTGGAAAAGCCATATGAGTGCAGTGAGTGTGGAAAATGTTTTAAAGAACATTGGATCCTTATTCAACACTGTCGAGTTCATTCTGGAGAAAAGCCTTATGAGTGTGGTGAATGTGGAAAGTCCTTTAGCCAAAGTGCTGGCCTCACTAGACACCAGAGAGTTCACACTGGAGAAAAGCCATATGAGTGTGGTGAATGTGGGAAATCCTTCAGCCAGAATTCCAGCCTCATTCACCACCAAAGGGCTCACACTGGAGAAAAGCCTTATGAGTGTGGCGAATGTGGGAAAACCTTTACCCAGTGTTCCAGCCTCATTGAACACCAAAGGGTTCACACTGGAGAAAAACCTTTTGACTGTAGCGAATGTGGAAAGTGTTTTACCAGAATAGCCTGCCTTCGTCGTCATCGGAGACTTCACTCTGCTGAAAGGCCTTATGGGTGTAACGAATGTGGAAAATCTTTTAAGAGGAAATCTCTCTTTTGTTATCATCAGAGATTACACACTAGACAAAGTTTGTATGAGTGCAGTGAATGTGGGAAATCTTTTATCCATAGCTCTGGACTCCATTATCACCAGAGAGTTCACAACGGAGAAAGACCTTATAAGTGCACTGATTGTGGGAAATCTTTTATCAGGAACTGTGACCTTCATAACCATGAGAAACTTCATACTGGAGAACGACCTTTTGAGTGCAATGACTGTGGGAAATCTTTTATCAGGAACAGTGACCTTTATAAACATCAGAGAGTTCACACTGGAGAAAAACCATATAAGTGCAGTGATTGTGGGAAATCTTTTACCCATAGCTCTGGACTCCATTATCATCAGAGAGTTCACAGTGGAAAAAGGCCTTATGAATGCACTGATTGTGGGAAATCTTTTATCAGCAATTGTCATGTTCGTACTCATCAGAGTTCACATAAAACAAAGGCTCTTTGAGTACTGTGAAGGTGGATAAATTTAACAAAAATTCTAGCCTCAGGACGAATGAGCGTACAATTAGAGGAAGTTTTTAGATGTGGAGGAACTGTAGTTTCCTTGTTCAGTGTTAACAACACTGAAAGAAATTCAGGCTTCAGAAATCGGACTTTCAGCTCATAAATCCCATACTCAACAGTGGGAGATTTTCCATAAAGTTAGTTGTTGTATGTGTGCTCCCCCACGTCCCGCGTGGTTTAGGGTTCAGGATCTGGAAGAGGAGCCGCACACAAATGAAAGAGAAGAGACAAGAGGTCATTTGGAAATATTGGGGGGACCAGGCGGGCAAGTCCAACTCAAGAGGAAGGACCTCCACTGGTGCCCAGGCCTCGCCAGCCTTTTATTCAGCTTTGGTTAAACATAAAGCCCTTAGGCAGGTAATTGCAGCAGCAGACAGGCTATCTTAAAGGTCAGTAAATATTAGAAGGATTTACTCTGAGACTATTTGATCAGGAAATAGCTTGAGCCCCCACTGTCAGGACGAGACAGTCGGTGCATAACTCAGGCCCTGCCATGGGTACAAGGGTCACCAGCGTTCCGGGTCCTTGTTTGCACTTCTCTGCTAGTGAAGACAATGGGTGGCGTCCTGCATCTCCCGCATCTCCCCCGTTTCTTTTCCTTAATAATTCTTGAAAGGTGACTGCTGCCTGAAGGGTTCGAGTCCTTTTAAGACTCTTCATTCCGCATCTGCAGACTAGAAATAAGCATATGAGAAGAAAAATGAGACAAGCAATAGTGGTTATGCTGAGAGGCAAATGTAATGAGATCCAACGGAAGGGGTTGAATTCTTTCATGTCCTTTTTAAATTGTTGCCAGGCATCTAAGGAATTGGTCTGTAAGTTTGCCTTGGACAACTGTACAATATGCTGTTGTAATTCTAAAATATCAAGGGTTGTGTTACCTTTACCCCAAGCGCCAAGAAGGTAATTTTTTACTGATTCCCAAGGGTGCAAGGTACTATTATAAGGAACAGGGGTAACACAAATCTGAGAAAAATTATAATGACACTGCAAGGATATTCTTTGCTCTAGGCCATGGATTTTATCACCCATCCACAGGACTGTAGACTTCAGTGCTGACAATTCAATCTCAAACTGGCTGTCAATTTTCTTTTGTATAGACAAGGTCTTAGTTACATTTTCCTTAACTTGTTCCACAAACTGAGAAGTTTGAACAGTTTGAACCATGGATGAAGCAGCGATGTCCACAGAAATAAGCAACATTATGAGGGCAAAGATCCCTGCAATTAACATTCCAAGAAATCTTTTTTGTCTTTTTAAGATTCTTACCAGATCATGTAACAGTTGGTAGGTTTGATGAGATTCCCAAGGCTCGGTTAGGTTAGTAGGAACCCAAGCGAAAGCTGGTTGTTTTAAAATCATAAGGGAGTCCGTTTGGAATGTAGAATTAATGCAGTGGGATAGAGTGCAGCCTGTGCATGACACCGCATACAGATGGCTTGTAACATTAAGGTGCATCTGGATGGGGCCTAAGAGGAGTACAAACGGATCAAACACACAGGCGGTGGCAAATACTGTCTTATTGGGAGTTCCCCGTAAGGTATGAATGGAATTATCTGTGCCGTAATTAAAGCTATACCATTTGATAGGTGCAAGTGCAGCAGCTAATTTCCATTGCGTATTTTGTAGGGGCCAATTGTCATGTTGTAGTTGAGATCCAACAAATCCTCCTCCACGCCATAAAATGGGGTGATTGGCTTTAACATGTAGATAAGATGTGTTCCCCTCCCATTTTAGGGTGTGATTGTTACTATATGCAGACCAGTAGGGGCTCCAATCCACAAAGGAAAAACTGTTAAGTTTGCTGCTGGTGGGGTGGTCACTATAACAGTCTTGCCAATTAATTTCTTCCTCAGTGAGATGCCATTCATAAGACTTTATACATAAAGGCCTAGTCGGGGGGTGACTTAGTACAGTTACATTGTCTGCACCTCTCCCCGGAGCAAGGAGTGATAGTAGACGTATTTGGGCATTTTCTTCCCCTTCCTTTGGTGTCCATGCTGGCCAGAAGCCTCTCTTTAATTTTACACACCAAGGAGCAGTGGTTTGATTCTGTGTCATACAGAAGGGAAGCTGGGTGGCAACACCCGTGAAATTATACTTTCCCATATACTTCCTTGCCCCACCCCTCCTGGGTGACCAAGGCATTTGGTGTTATTGGTGACTACATTAGGCGGGGGATCAGCCCATGTAAGGGGTGTTACCCATGGTGGGTCAGGAACATAAGTCCAAAATACTTCCCCATTTGCCCCTGGTACTATTACCGCACAGCTGATTACTGCTAGCATGGCGAGAAAGACATTCTTTGGGGTTCTGGTCTCCTCACAAATTCGCTCAGCTTTCTGGACCTTCTTCACCATGCCCCAGGTGACCTCCCGGCTGTTCCCCATCCTCCTCGCCCTCCCATTCCTTATCTTCAGTGGATTGTTTGAAGCTGCTGCTGTCTGCGGCTGGGCTAGTTGATTGTCTGCAGCTGTAAAGCGAGGCTCCAGGTGCAGGGTTCTCATTAACCTGGCCAGTTCCTCCCTCGGATCCATGTTGAAGTCTAATATTTCTTGCGGGAATCCACATGGGCTTGGAGAAATTTTCTGGAAATACACAAGGGTACCCTCGGCTGAATGTTAAGAGGGGATCGGGGCCCTTCCATAACCCAGACTCAGGATCTTTCCATTTAACCAGACCGTTTTCCTTTGACTTATTCTGACACCAGTGTACTTCCATGGGTGTCTTGCCATCAGAATCACAAGTGAAAAAATTTAAAGTAATTAAATCTTGGTGTAGTCTACTTACAGGCGATTTCTCCATAATCCCCCCTTTTTGCTGCTGAACTGAGGTGAGGTCTCCACCTGGTGTCGGTTTGCCACCAAGGGCTCTAGCAAGTTAATTTAACCTGGGGAGGGCTTCATAGGGTTTATAGGATTTTGAAAATTCTTATTTCTATATTTTTACTTATTAATGTTAGAGAGGGTGAGAGAGAAACATTGATGTTTTTGTTGTTGCTGTTAAACTTTGTTGTTTTAATCCTCACCCCAGGATATGTTTATTGATATTTGGAGACAGGAAGGGAAGGGAGTAAATATTGTTTGGTTGATTCCCTGTGTGCCCCGACTGGGGATCAAACCTGCAAACCAGGTAATGTGCCCTGACTGGGAATTGAAGCCGCAAACATTTGGTGTACAGGACGATACTCCAACCACCTGAGCCACTCAGCCAGGGCTTCTTCCACTTATTGGTGCATTCATTGGGAGGTTCTGTGTGTACCCTGACGGAGATCAAACCCACCACCTTGATTCTAACCAACTGAGGTCCTCGGCCAAAGCTAAATTTTTATTTATTTACTTTAGAGAGAGTGAAAGAGAGAAACATCAATTTGTGGTTCCATTTCTTTATATTTTCATTGTTTGAGGCTTGTGTGTGCCCTGACCAGAGATCTAAACCACAATATTGGTTTATCAGGTTGACACTCTACATCACTTACCTGGCCACAATTGATTTATAGTGTTAAAAACAAACAACAACAACAACAACAAATAGAACTTGCCTGGCCTGGGTTGCTCAGTATTTGAGTGACAATCCATGAACCAGTTGGCCATGGTTCTATTCCAGGAAAAGGCACATGGCGCATTGTGGACTCAGTCCCCTGTGGGGCCTGCAGGAGGCAACCAACCAATGAGAGAAGCACAAGCCAAGGCCCTGCTGGCTGTAGCAGATGCTCTCCCGCAGGGAGTGACTGTTCCCAGGGGGTGGGGGTGGCGCCAGGGCCAGAGAGCATCCTGAGTGGCCACGTGAAGGGCAGCCAGGTGAGGGGCGGGGGTCGGCCACCTCCCTAACGAAGTCCTGGAGTCTACCTGTGCGTCCGTCTGTCCACCAGTTGTCCGGAGCCCACTTCCTTGCTTGTCTAAAGCCGTCAGTAGGACTCCTCCCCCCCGCTGGCCCTATGTAGTGACTTTCTCAGGGGAAGCTTACCTCGTGCCCGGAAGGGAGGAGCGGATCGCAAATATTGGGAGATCCTGGGACCCAAAGTCTGATGACCACGCACCACCTCCCATGCTACTGCCTCCCTCCCCGCTCCTTAATCCATTAGGAACCAAAGTGTAAACTGAGTCAGCAGCCCCCCAGCGCCCTCCCTCCGCTCCCACCCTGCTGAGCGCTCTGGCAGATGGACAGGGGCCCTGTCCAACCCCTAGCGCTCTCATCCCGGTCCCCAGGGCTGCCCCCCGCCACCAAGAACTGCTGGGAAGAGATTCAGGCCCGAGGGACGATGGGCGGGCGAGAGGGCAGAGCTCGGTTCAGGAACTGGACCTTCTGTTAGCACGTGGTGGCCAAGGCTAACAGTGGGAGAGAGAGGCTGGTGTCAATGCTATACTGGTTTACAGGGTGTGGTTTTTTTAAAAAAATATATTTTATTGATTTTTTACAGAGAGGAAGGGAGATGGATAGAGAGTTAGAAACATCGATGAGAGAGAAACATCGATCAGCTGCCTCCTGCACACTCCCTACTGGGGATGTGTCCACAACCAAGGTACATGCCCTTGACCGGAATCGAACCTGGGACCTTTAATTCTACAGGCCGGTGCTCTATCCACTGAGCCACACCGGCTAGGGCCAGGTGTTTGCTTTTTAATATATATTTTTATTGATTTCAGAGAGGAAGGGAGAGGGAGAGATAGAAACATCAATGATGAGAATCATTGATCAGCCGCCTCCTGCACGCCCCCCACTGGGTATTAAGCCTGCAACCCAGGCATCTACCCTTGACAATCTAACCTGGGACCCTTCAGTCCACAGGCCAATGCTCTATCCACTGAGCCAAACTGGCTGGGCTCACTGGGGTTTGAGTAGACACAACAGAGAAGGCACCAAGGAGTCGTGGTCCCAGTCACACAGAAGCAGTTGTGAGACTTGCTTCACAGCTTACTGTTCATTGACAAAGTAATTCACTTGATAATATGAGGCTGATATCAGTGGTTCTCTCTGGAGAGGGATCAGGCTTAAGAGTGAGGGTGGCAGGTTGGGGACTTTTCTAATTATATCTGCTTCAGATTCTCACTTCATTTTGTTATACATCAGTGAATATGGGTGTTCTCAGGCAGGCTGTGCAAAGCCTTTGTGGAAGGAGTAGCCAGTAGATTAAAAAGAAATATTTTAAGTTACAGGACACAGGTGTGAAAATATAAAAACAGCAGCACCCAGGAAGAACAAGTATGAAATCCTGAAGAATTTAAGAGCTCACATTTAAGGGAATTGAGAAAGAGATTTTTTAAAAAGAAACATTTTTATTGATTTCAGAGAGGGAGAGGGAGAAACATCAATGATGAGAGAGAACCATCAATCGGCTGCCTCCTACACACCGCCCCCCCCCCGCCCACTGGGGGTGGAGCCCACAACCTGGGCATGTACCCTTTACCTGAATGGAACCTGGAATCCTTCAGTCCGCAGGCCGATGCTCTATCCACTGAACAAAACCAGCCAGGGCAAGAGATTTTACTACAACTGGAAGATGTTCCCCAGACAAAAAAAAACCTGAAAAATGTTCTTGTCCCAGGAGATTCCCTGGAGTGTCAGACCAGGCCTATAATCACCGTGCCAGAAGCAGTGTGCTGGAGACTATTTTATATTTTAAATTTATTTGTTATTGTTGACAGAACAAACGTCTCCCATACACCCCTTTAGACCCTCCACCCCGCCCCACCTCTACCCCCACCCTTATTCTCAGATCTGTCCCATGCATCAGAACATATTTCCTCAGTTTATTTTGTTCATCAGATCCCACGTATAAGCAACATCATGTGACATCTGTCTTTAACTGCTTATTTCACTTAGCATCAATCTCCAGGTCTATCTATGTTGGTAAGAGATCTTTCTTTTTTACAGCCCCATAGTGTCCCATTGTGTAAACACATCACAGCTTTTTTACCCACTCATCCACTGGTGGACACTTGGGCTGCTTCCAGATCTTAACTATTGTAAATGCTGCTATGAACACAGAGGTGCATATATTCTTTCCTATATGTTTCAGGACTCTTAGGAAGCATTCCCAGAAATAGGGATGGTGGGTGAAACAGCAGTTTCATTTTTAGTTTTTTGAAGAAACTCCATCCTCTTTCCACGTGACTGCACCATGTGCATTCCCACCAGCAGAGCACCAAGTACCCTCTTGTCTGCCTCCTCACCAGCACTTGTTTTGCGGATTTATTCAAAGCAGCCAGTCTAGTAGTTGTGAGGTAATACTTCATTACATTGACCTGGACCACTTTTTCATGTACATACTAGGGTCCCAGTGCACAAATCTGTGCACCTTAAAAGGAACTGTGGGCCATGACGCTGCAGTGGGCACAGGACCAGGTCTCAGCCCATTCTCCGTGCCCCTGCCCAGCCCTTCCCGCTGCAGCCCCACTCCTGCTGCCACCTCTCACACCCACTGATGGCACTGGCCTTGTTCACACCTGCAGGTGGCACTGGCAGCAGGTGTAAGTGGGGCCACTGCCAGCTGCGGGTGCGAGCAGCAGCTGATGGGCCCGATCGCCCTTCAGGAGCAGGGGGAGATGGAGAAGTCCTCAGAGGCGATTGGGGCCAGCAGCCACCACTCGCACGCCGACGGCACTGAGCGAATGGGGCCAGCGCCAGGGGCCAGCAGTGGGTGCAAGGGGGCTGTGGCGTGCAGGAGCAAAGAATTTTCAGTAACCACCAGAGGCTCGCCCTGATGACTGTGACCAGCACCCCATCTTGGTCTGGCACAACTGCTCACCTGCTACACCATCCTGCCTCAGCCAATGCGCCTCCTGGTAGTCAGCCCACGTCATAGTGACCCGTTGTTCTGACATTCAGCCTATTTGCATATTAGCTTTTTATTATATAGGATATTAATCATCTGTACATCATCTTGGGATAAATGTCTATTTAGGTCCCTTGCCCATTTTTTTGAATTGGATGGTCTTCCTTTTGTTGAAGTGTAAGAGTTGTATCATTGCCGGGAGCAAGTGACCAGGGCTGTGAATGGACCCACAATGGAGTAACATTTTTGTAATTTCTGGGAAATGTTTTGACATTTTTCTACTCTTGTCATACATTGCTTTATTATTTCTCATAATAATAAAAAAAAATCCTCACCAGATGATATTTATTCCATTGGTTTTTAGAGTGGAGGGTCAGGAGAAGGGAAAAAAGAGAGGACCATCAGCATGAGACACAGGGATTGCTTCCCCTAAAGGCCTCATTGGCGACTGGGGATGGAACCTGCAACCCAGGTACCTGCCCTTGACCTGGAATCAAACCTGCTACCTTTCTGGTGCATAGGTCAATGCTCAAACCACTGTAGCACACTGGCTTGGGCAAATGTTTAAATTATGTACATTATTGCTTGAAAACATAATGGTATCGCACATTTCATAGACTACAGTGATGTAGAGTGTAAATGTAATTTTTATGTGCATGGTGAACCATTAAACTTGTGTGACTGGCTTTACCACAGTTGTTCCGGAACCAAACACTTGTCTTTCCGGAACGCGTGTATGGCACACCTTGGATGTCCTTAACTTGTTCTCCTTTGTTTGCAATAAATACATAGTTGGAGCCAATGGCATTCGATCAAATCCTCCTTGATTCTAGCCACACTGCTGCACAGGCAGAGCTCAGACTTTTGATTGCTTTAGGCACAGATGCTATGAAGTATCAGTGTCATTTTTGTGTTGTGAACATTGCATAGTGAGTTTAACTGTTAAAAGGTTTTTCATCCAATATAATTTTTACCCATTGAAATTTTGTCTACTCTGCCGGCTGTCATTGAATATATTTGGTTGAAGTAATTGATGATTTTGGGCTAAATCAATTATTTTATGAGCTGTTGAGACATGTCTGCATTCTATAAAACTTTATCAGGATGTTAGCACTTATTAAATAGAAATCATCTCTAAGTTTTCCTAACTTTATGTTTACCCAAAGTACATTTTAGACATAAAAAGAGAGCATAATACCCTGATTTTGGTTTCCCATATTAAAGATGTCTTTTCGCCCTTGCAGGTATGACTCAATGGTTAGAGCATTGGCCCACATACTGAATTATCTCAGGTTGATCCTAGTCAATGGCATGTACCTGGGTTGTAAGTTTAGTCCTTGGCATCTGATCGGAATATGTGTGGGAGTCAACTCATCCAATCTGTCTCTCTCACACTGATGTTTCTGTCTCTCACCTTCCCTTCCACTTTCTCTAAAATCCAACGGAAAAAATACCCTCAGGTGAGGAATAACAACAAAGAAAATACAAGGCCTCGACTGTTTCACAAGGCAAAGCAATGAGCAATAGGCACTTCCAAATACATGAACTGGAAGCTGGTAAATTCCATCACAAGTATCATGTGAGACCAACACATCCCTGGAACCGGTAGTCATTTCTCTGTAAGCTTGAAGCAGAAGTCAGGATATTCACTGAAATCCATGTCCACATTAGTCATAAAGGGAAAGCTGACCCCTGAGGGTTTGGTTATTCCTAGATTTCTACAATATATGAAACCAGAGGTCAGCTTCCCAGAACACATTAGGCCATGACTGTTGCAAAAATTCTAAGGACATGCCAGTGGGAAAGGTTAAAGAACTTTAGCCACATAAACCTAGGAAGAGCCCTGGCCAATCAAGAGAGTATAACGTATTTACACAGGCTTCTCGTAAATGAAACTTACGGGGAATCTACCCACTGTACATATTCAGACGTATGAGTCTCAATTCAGACAAATGAGTTCTGAAAGAATTTCCTCTAGGGCTTTTACACTGAACAGAAAATTGCACGTCTCTAGCACTTCTAAGGCCTTTCCCTCATGTGAACTCTCTGATGTTGAGAGAGCGTAGATTTTCGTATAAAAAGTTTCCCACATTCATTGCACTCATGAGGTCTTTCTCCAGTGTGACCTCTCCGGTGTTGATTGAATTGGGAACTATCCCTAAACAGTTTTCCACATTCACTGCATTCATAAGGCCTTTCACCAGTGTGAACTCGATGGTGATAACGAAGTTTGGAACTACAGATAAAAGATTTCCCACATTCACTGCACTCATAAGGCCTTTCTCCTGTGTGAACTCTCTGATGATAACGGAGGGTGGAACCAGAGGCAAAAGATTTTCCACACTGACTGCATTTGTAAGGCTTTTTTCCTGTGTGAACTCTCTCGTGATAAGAAAGTGTGTCACTACTGGCAAAGCATTTCCCACATTCACTACACTCATAAGGTCTTTCTCCTGTGTGAACTCTCTGGTGTCGAACAAGTATCGAACTGCTGGTAAAAGACTTCCCACATTCAATGCACTGGTAGGGCCTTTCTCCCCTGTGAAGTCTCCGATGATAACCAAGACCAGAGGTAGAGGTAAAAGACTTACCACACTCGCCACACTTGTAAGACCTTTCTCTATTATGAGTTTTCTGGTGTATTGAGAGGGAAGATTTGTGGCTAAAAGATTTCCCACATTCATTACACTCATAAGGTCTCTCTCCAGTGTGACCTCTCTGGTGTTTAGTGAACTGTGATCTATCCTTAAAAGTTTTCCCACATTCACTGCATTCATATGGCCTCTCTCCAGTGTGAACTCTGTGATGATAACGGAGGCTCGAACTAAAAGTAAAAGATTTTCCACATTGACTGCATTTATAAGGCCTTTCTCCTGTGTGAACTCTCTGATGGTAATTGAGGGTGGAACTAGATGTAAATGATTTCCCACATTCACTACATGCATAAGGCCTTTTTCCCGCATGAGTTCTCAGATGATAGGAGAGGGTGGAGCTAGAAGTAAAGGACTTTCCACATTCAGTGCACACATAAGGTTTTTCTCCTGTGTGAACTCTCCGGTGTTGAATGAGTGTCGACTTATTGTTAAAAGATTTTCCACATTCACTACACTCATAAGGTCTTTCTCCCGTGTGTACTCTCTGGTGTAAAATGAGGTTATTTCTTCGAATAAAGGATTTTCCACATTCATTACACTCGTAAGGCCTTTCTCCTGAGTGAGTTTTCTGATGATACTGGAAGTCAGATCTGGAGATAAAAGATTTCCCACATTCACTGCACTCATAAGGCCTTTCTCCTGTGTGAACACTCTGATGATAACGGAGGGCAGAGCTAGTAGTAAAAGATCTCCCACACTCAGTGCACTCATAAGGCCTTTTCCCAAGGTGGCCTCGCTCATGATACTGAAGTGTGGAACTACAAGTAAAAGATTTGCCACAATTGCTGCATACGTAAGGCTTTTCTCCTGTGTGAATCCTCTGGTGTCTAACAAGTGTCCACCTATTGTTAAAGGATTTCCCACACTCGCTGCAGTCATAAGGCCTTTCTCCAGTGTGAACTCTATGATGATAACGGAGGCTAGAACTAAAGGTAAACGATTTCCCACATTCACCGCACTCATAAGGCCTGTAGCCTGAATGAACTCTAAGGTGTATAAGGAGGTTATTCCTTCGGGTAAAGGACTTCCCACATTCACTACATTCATAAGGCCTTTCCCCAGTGTGAACTCTCTGATGATAACGAAGAGCTGTACGGGTGATAAAAGATTTCCCACATTCACTGCACTCATGAGGCCTTTCTCCAGTGTGAACTCTCTGATGATAACGGAGGTCAGACCTAGAGATAAAAGATTTCCCACAATCACTGCACCCATAAGGTCTTTCTCCTGTGTGAGAGCTCTGATGATAACTGAGGGCAGCGAGAGAGGTAAACGATTTTGCACAGTCATTACACTTATACGGTTTTTCTTGTGTTTGAACTTTCTGATATTCAATGGACACTGAACTATGACTAAACGGTTGCAAACATTCACCACACACATAACTGTTTTCGCCACTGTGTTGTTCCTGGGTATTAATGAGGACAGGTTTGTAGCTTAAGGATTTTCCACATTTGCTGCACGTGTACTGCCTTGGACCTGTATCAATTTTTCGATGCTGACTGAGGGTTGAGCGTCCCCTAAAGGTTTTCCCACCTTTGTCACACACATAAATACTTTTTTCAGTGTGGACTCTGCAGTGAGTAACAAATGAGGCTTTGTACCTGAATATTTTTCCACATTCACTGCACACAAAACATTTTCTTGCAATATAGACATCTTGGTCCTGAACAAGCAGGCGTTTGGGGTTAAAGGCCTTTTTGCATTTCCCTGGGTGGTGAAGGCTTGTTCTGCTCTGAGAAGGTGCTTCCCACTGGGGCCCTCCTTCGGCTCCTTCGCTTTATGAGGGAGCGGTGGCTGCCGATGTCCCAAGCTGGGCAGGAAGTCCCTCTCATTCTGCTCAGAGGCCAAGGTCTTCCCTGACAGGTGGGTGCTGTCGCTCTTCACGAATGAGGCCTTGTCCGCACGACGTCTGAAGGGCTCCCCTCCCATGTGCTGCTCCTTAAGCTGGTGACCGTTTACACTGAAATAAAATCGTTTTGCGCACGCCCCACACCTCAGCAGTTTCTGGCTGTGCTGTGTCCCCTGATGCTCGACCAAGTGGAAAATGTCCCTCAAGACTGGCCCGCAACTCTCGCAGGGGTGTCTCTTCTGGGAAGACGAGGCTGTCTGAGGATTCTTCCCCCGTGAGATTCCCACAGAAACCCTCTGTTCGCCGGGTGCTTCCACATCGTCGGCTCCACAGCAGCAACCTGAGCACAAAGAAACGCTTTTGAATTACATGTTGACTAAAGGGGAGGGAGAAACACATCTATATATGAAATGCTTTGCAAAGGAAGAAAATTCAGTTGAAGGACTGGCTGACTATTCTGTGCTTCTCAGCTTCTAAGGTCAGAAAATGGTGAAAACACACCAGGGGAAGGATATGGGTCTGACACAACAAAGAGAGGCACAGCATACAATGCATTTCCTATTGCAACGGAGTCCTGCATATCCTTCTCTGCTGCTGGAGCAGAGCTGGGGAGAAACATGCATGTAAGAACATTACTATGCAAACACTAGCTGCTGTCCAAGGTCAATACAGACACTTTCAACACCTCACAGCACATACGTGAGGGGCAGTGTTGAAGAGCACTGAGGAAAGAGCGGTGAGAGAGCAGGCGAGATGGGAGTCCAGGGAGGGGGCACTATCCCTGGGCTAGAAACCACAGTAGACACGGGAAAGTGCCAAAGCTGCAAGAGGAAGAGGGGAAATGGGTCTGGCTATTGGCAATGACACAAACCCTCTGGTTGAGCAAAGACAGGTTCATGGTATGATCTGAATAATGTCCTGACAACTCAATTTTCACAACAACCAGTCACTAGGACCACACCCTCTGTGACCCCACTTGGCCATGGCTGGAGAGAGACACATCCTGTGATACACGCAGAAAGGACTCTTCCCCAAAAGTCCTAGCAGGGCAACTACATACAACATGGATGATACACCGAAAAAACAGAACATGTGAATGGAGAGGTCTGTTCCAGAGTAACTCAGCACACAACACACCCAGAAACACATCTGGTGAGTAACGTCAGCAATGTCGTAGAGGAAACCAGCTTTTGTCACCAACAACAAAAAATTAAGGCAGCTCTTTATGAGCAAAATTTGCCCTTAGAGTTCTCCAGAACATAATTAAGACACAACAGCAGCCCATGGAGCATAAAAAGGAGAATACACACACAAAGAATAAACACCAGCATAGTGAAGACATCTGGAAAAGAAAAAGAAGTAAGAAAGGGGGAGCCATGTGTATCAGCCAAGGGCAAATGCCATTCCATTGCCACCGTCCAGCTCTGCAGAGGACGAGAAACCTTTTCCAGAAGGACCCTCAACAGCTCGCGCTACATCTGAGGACACCCACAGTTTGCACAGCAGACTTGGCCGAGTGACCGCAGGCATGGATCCCAGCTGCCTTCTCTAGAGGCCCCACCCCATACCCGCCAGACCCCAGAGCCACAACTGTTCCTGAAATGCCAATATTAGATAACCTGACCCCATTGCTGTCACAGGAATGCCCAGTTCTCAGGCACCAAAGCCGTGGGCAATATGGAGTAGCTGAGCCCTCAGACACTAGCTCCTTGTATGTGTCCCTGTGCTCTGCTCACAGGCGAGATCACTGATCAGTGTGGGACTGCATCTCACAGAGCAAAGTCAATGCCACTGGGGGCTCTTACAATCAGACACGAATTCCCCCATCACCACGAGGACACCCTGCACTCAGCACCTAAAGCAGGGGTCCTCAAACTACGGCCCGCGGGCCACATGCAAATACAAATATTGTATTTGTTCCCGTTTTGTTTTTTTACTTCAAAATAAGATAGGTGCAGTGTGCATAGGAATTTGTTCATAGTTTTTTTTAAACTATAGTCCGGCCCTCCAACGGTCTGAGGGACAGTGAACTTGCCCCCTGTTTAAAAAGTCTGAGGACCCCTGACCTAAAGGGAACAACTGAGCCAAAAACATTTCCCTTGAGAGAACAAAATCAGGTTGTCTACAGCCATCCTCTCCACAGGTGTGAGCACACAAAGCCTTAGCTACTGAGGAACCTGCAATTTCACTAACACTGACTTCAGGTTACACAGCTGCAGACATTACTCGGTTTGGCCTTAGAGTCAGAACTGCAACACCAACCAAGTCCGCACAGTGACACCCCAACACAGGCGAAGCTCTTCCCACCAAAACCGTTCCAGAAAAGTCAAAGTAATTCACCCTATGAAATGTACAGACATCAACACAAGGCTACAAAAAACAAACATGCAAACAAAACATTTTTTCAAAAATCAAGGAAACATGACACCCCACCAACCAAAGGAACACACAAATTTAACAATCACTCCAAAGAAATGCACATCTGTGTATGGTCAGAAAAGGATTTCAAAATAAATAATTTAAGCAAGCCCAGGAAGCTAGAAATAAATAAAATAAAATAAAGGACACACAATTGCCCTGGCTGAGATAGCTCAGTTAGTTGGAGTGCAGTCCTAATCACAGGAAGGCAACAAGTTTGATTATCAGTCAGGGCACATACCTATGTTGTGGGTTAGATCCCCAGACAAGGGTGCGTACAAGAGGCAACAAATCAATGTCTCTCTCACATCAATGTTTCTCTCTCTCTCACCCCCCGCTTCTCCTTCTGTAAAATCAATTTAAAAAATAAAAATGCAAATTAAAAAAAGACCAGAAAACGCTATACAAACAAAATAAGATTTTTCATCAAAGAAATAGAAAATATACAAGAGAAAATGAAAATTATTGTGCTGAAAAATAAATGAAATGAAAAAATGCTATAGAGAGCATCAATAGCTCACTTGATCAATCAAAACAATGATTCTGAAGATGAATGTTGGTCCTTTGATATTACGCAGTCAAAACAAATTTAGAAAAAGAGAATAAAGAAATCGTACATGAATTATGGGTTGTCATGAAATAACGATATTCACGTTATGGGAGTTCTAGAAAGAGAAGACAGAAAAAAGGGATAGAAAGCTTATTTAAATAATGGCCCTAGCTGATTTGGCTTAGTGGATAAAGGGTCGGCCTGCAGAATGAAGAGTCCTGGGTTCAATTAAAGTCAAGGGCATGTACTTGGATGGGGCATGTACATAAGACAACCAATCGATGTGTCTCTCTCACATTGATGTTTCTGTCTCTCCCCCTCCCCTTTCCACTCTCTCTAAAATTCAGTGGGAAAATATCCTCAAATGTGGATCAACAAAAACAAAAATTTTAAATAATGGAAACAAACTCAGAAAATCTGGAGATAGAAGCAGTCACCTAAGTGCATGAGGCTCATAAATCCAAAAACAGATTCAATTCAAAAAAGGCTGCACCAAGAAACATTAGAATAAAAGTCAAAAAGAAATGACAAAGAGAATTTTGAAAGCTGCAAGGAAAAAGAAACTCATCTCATTAATACCAGGGTGATAAAGGCAGGAGTGGTTTTCTTAGCTGAAACACTGCACTCCCAAAGAGAGTGGGCCGGTACGTCATAAATGCTTACAGGACAAAACTGCAAGCTCAGATACTTTGCTCGCAAAGGTGCCCTTGAGAAATGAAGGTGAGACACTTTCCCAGGCAAACAAAAGCCGAGGGAGTTCATCAACACTTCCCCTAGCCTATGAGAAATGCTACAGCAAGTAGTTCAAGCTAAAATGAAAGTATACTAGCTAGTAACATAAAAATATCAACTAAACTGATAAAGTATACAGTTAAATTCAAAATACTCTCATTTGCTAATGGTTACGAAATATAAAAGATGTGAAATGGACATCAAAATTATGGGGAAGGGGGATGTAAGAGTAGGGTTTTGTCCGTACCCAGTTTGGCTCAGTGGATAAAGGATGAGCCTGAAGGGGTCCGGGTCGGTTTCCCGGTCAAGGGCATGCACCTCAGCTGCAGGCTCTATCCCTGGTGCCAGTTGGGGAGCATGAGGTAGGCAACCAATCGAAGTGTCTCTCTCAAATGCATGTTTCTCTCCCTGTCTCTCCCCCTCCCTTCTACTCTCTCTAAAAATCAATGGGAAATAATATCCTCAGGTGAGGATTAACAACAACAAAACGTAGAGTTTTGCTTTGCAATTGAAGTTGATACCTTAAAATAGAAAGTTTTAATTATAAGATTTTATATAAGCCTATAGTAATCACAAAGCAAAATGCAATAGTAGATATGCAAAAGACAGAGGAATAAAAACACACCACTTCCCTAGCTGATTGGGTCTGTAGGTAAGAGCACTGGCCTGCGGACTTAAGGGTCCCAAGTTCGATTCAGGTCAAGGGCATGTGCCTGGGTTGCGGCCTTGATCCCCAGTAGGGTGTGCAGGAGGCAGCTGACCAATTCTCTCTCATTATTGATGCTTCTATCCCTCTTTCCCTCTCAGAAATCAATAAAAAATATTTATAAAAAAATACTATCTATATCTCTATATCTTTATATATCTCTATCTATATATACAAACATATATAGATTAAATAGAGAGAGAGAAAGAGGGAGAGAGACGGAATTTTAAAAATTTCCAAATTTGTTTTAGGTGACCAGCAATAACCTGACACCAAAGCCAGATAATGACACTATAAGAAAAGACTATTACAGCCTCACATCCCTGATGAATATAGATATAAAAGAACAACAAACCCTCAACAAATTAATAGCAAACAAAGTCACCAGCATATAAAAAAAATCATAAACTGTAATTACATGGGATTTATCTCTCGAGTGCAAGAATGGTTCATCATGAACAAAATCAATAAATGTGCTTTAGCACATTAACAGAATGAAGGCGAAAAAAATCTTATCATCACAATAGATGCAAAAAAGCATTTAACAAAATTCATAATTCTTTCATGATAAAAACCACACAAAATATTAGATGTAGAGGCCTGGGTTGGGTATCTCAATTGGTTAGAATGTTGGCCTAATACGCCAAGATTGCAGGTTTGATCTCCAATCAGGACACATAAAGAAGGAATAAAAGAATGCATAAATAAGTGGAACAATAAACTGAAGTTTCCCCATCTCTCTTTCTCACTCTCCATTCCTCTCTTCCTTTATAACAAAAAAGATAAATCACCATGGCCCGTGTTGTTAAGTGATTAGAGCCTCCGCCCTTGGAAGAAGGGGTCACAGGCTCCTTTCCTGGTCAGGTTACAAGCCTAGGCTGTGGGTCCATAGCCCACCAGTGCAGGAGGTAACCGGGTCAACATGTCTCTCTCACATCGATGTTTCTCTCTCCTCTCCTCCTCCTTCTCTTTCACTCTCTTTAAAAATCACTGGAGAAAGTATCCCTGAATGAAATTTAAAAACATTTAAAATTACCCAGTCAGTGTCGCTCAGTGGTTGGGCGTCAACCTAGGAATCAGGAGGTCACAGTTCGATTCCCAGTCAAGGCACATGCACAGGTAACAGGCTTAGTCCCCAGTAGGGGGGCATGCAAGAAGCAGCCGAACAATGATTCTCTCTCATCACTGATATTTCTATCTCTCTCTCCTCTCCCTTGCTCTCTGAAATAAAACATACACACACATATAAAGGGAGTAAAACTGCCTGTGTTTGCAGATGACATTATCTCATATAAAGGACATCCTAAAAACTCCACCAAAACACCTCCAGCAGGAATAAATAAGCCCAATAGATTTGCAGCATTCCAAATCCACATACAAGTCAATTGCATCTTCACACTAACAAAAAAATATCTGAATAAGGAATTTAGAAATCAATCTCATTTATAATACCATTAAAAACAATAAAATATTTAGCAATAAATTTAATAAAGAAGGTGAAAGATCTGGACAATGAAAACCATAAGACAACTGATGAAAAGAACTGAAGACTCAAATTAATGAAAAGACATCCTGTGTTCTTCGATAGGAAGAATTATTGTTAAAATATCTCTACTAACCAAAGCAACCTGATTCCATGCACTCTCTACCAAAATCCAATGGAATTTTTACCAGAAATAGAAAACAAATCCTAAAACTCAAACTACAGATGATTTCTAACCGTCAAAGCAATTTTGATAAACAAGATCATCACTAGAGTTACAGGCATGAAACTTCATGATTTAAACCATATTACAAAACAAATTAATCAAAACTAACACAAATAGACACACAGGTCTAAGAACAGAATACATGCAGCCCAGAAAGAAACCCACATATGTGGTGGTCAAGTACTCTTTGACAAGGTCCAAACACACAAAATGGAAAAAAAAGTGTCTTCAATAAACAGTGTTGGACCCTGGCCAGGTCGGTCAGTTGGTTAGAACATTGTTCAGATAAGCCAAGGTTGTGGGTTCAATCCCCGGTCAGGGCACATATAAGAAACAACCAATGAATGTGTAAATAAGTGTAAGAGCAAATCAATGTTTCTCTCTCTAATTCACTCCCTCTCTCTCACTTGCTCTGTGTCTCTAAACATAAACCAATGAAAAACGATGTTGAGAAAACGGGATATGCACTTGCAAGAAAGAAACTGGGGCCCCACCTTACACGGCTCACAAAAATTAACTCAAATGCATTAAAAACCTAAATGTGACATGAAAATTAAAACTCCTTGGGGAAGAGAGGTCCTGGACATTGGTTTTGGCAATGATGTTCTTGGATGTCACCAGCAGACAACAAAGACAAAAATACAGGAGCTGAGCTACATCAAACTAAAAGGCATCTGCACAGCAAAGAAAGCAGTCATCAGAAATGAAAAGTGAGGCGGGCGGGGGAGAGGGAGTGCCTTGGGCAAAATATACTTAAATAAAAATAAAAAAAATTTAAAAAAGAAATGAAAAGTGAGAAAATATGTGTAAAGGCTGTCTCATAAGGGAGAGCCAAAATATACAAGGTGTTCATACAACTAAATAGCAACGAACAATCCAACTAAAAAATGGGCAGCCGTGGCCGGTGTGGCTCAGTGTTTAGAGCGTCAGCCCTAGCACAGAAGGGTCTTCGGGAGCATATTGGAGACAACAAGTCTATGTGAGACATCACATCAATGTTTCCCTCTCTCCCTCCCCTCCTCCCACTCTTCTACTCTCTCTGAAGAGAAATGGAAAAAATATCCTCAGGTGAGAATTAACAAAACAAAAAAAGGGTAGGGCGATACCGGTTTGGCTCAGTAGATAGAGCAGCCGTGGGCAAACTACGGCCCGAGCCGGATTCGCCCTTTGAAATGAATAAAACTAAAAAAAAAAAAAGACCGTACCCTTTTATGTAATGATGTTTACTTTGAATTTATATTAGTTCACACAAACACTCCATCCATGCTTTTGTTCCGGCCCTCCGGTCCAGTTTAAGAACCCATTGTGGCCCTCGAGTCAAAAAGTTTGCCCACCCCTGAGATAGAGTGTCGGCCTGTGGACTGAAAGGTCCCAGGTTCGATTCCGGTCAAGGGAATGTTCCTTGGATGCGGGCACATCCCCAGCAGGAGGTGTGCAGGAGGCAGCTGGTCGATGTTTCTCTCTCATTGATGTTTCTAACTATCCCTCTCCCTTCCTCTCTGTAAAAAATCAATAAAATGTATTTAAAAAAAAAAATGGTAGGAAGCTTCCTTTATAAGATGAGTGAGTTCTAAGGATGTACTTAAGAGCATGATGACTACAGTTAATAATGTGATATAGTTGAAATTTATTGAGAGTAGGTCTTAAGCATTCACAGCATAAAAATATCAGGCAATGCCGAAACCGGTTTGGCTCAGTGAATAGAGCGTCGGCCTGCAGACTGAAAGGTCCCAGGTTCGATTCCGGTCAAGGGCATGTACCTGGGTTGCGTACACATCCCCAGTGGGAGATGTGCAGGAGGCAGCTGATCAATGTTTCTCTCTCATCGATGTTTCTAACTCTCTATCTCTCTCCCTTCCTCTCTGTGAAAAGATCAATAAAATATATTTAAAAAAAAAAAAATATCAGGCAACTTCAAATGGGGAAAGACGTTTAATTAATTTTACTGTGGCCATTATCCTATATAATAAAGAGGTTATATGCAAATTGACCGTCGCACCCTTGTACAAAATGGCCAACCCCATATGGTCACAAGATGGCCGGCAGGGAAGGGCAGTTGTGGGCAATCAGGCCAGCAGTGGAGTGCAGCTAGGGACGACCAGGCCAGTAAGGGAGGGCAGTTAGGGGTGAACAGGCTGGCAAGGGAGGGCAGTTGGAGGCAATCAGGCCAGCAGTGGAGCAGGTAGGCGTCGATCAGGCTGGAAGGAAAGTGGTTAGGGGTGATCAGGCTCAGAGGCAGAAGCAGTTAGGGGCAATCAGGCAGGCAGCGAGGTGAGTGGTTGGGAGCCAGCAGTCCCGGATTGTGAGAGGGATGTCAGACTGACGGTTTAGGCCCGATCCCACCATAGGGATGGGGCCTAAACCAGCAGTCGGACATCCCCCAAGTGGTCTCAGATTGGAGAGGGTGCAGGCTGGGCTGAGGGACACCCCCCCCATCTAGTGCACAAATTTCGTGCACCGGGCCTCTAGTCTTTATATATCCTATATAATAAAAGAGAAACATGTAAATTAACTGTCCCTCTCCTACACTCAAGCCACACCCACCAGCCAATCAGAAGCAAGTATGCAAATTAACCCAACTAAGATGGCAGCAGCCACGGACCTGGAATGAGCAGGAGGCTTGGCTTGCCCCAAGCAATGGAGGAAGCCAAGCTTCCTGCCTGCCCTGGCCGGCCCTCAGCTCTGCTCAAGGCTACAAAGTTTCAATTACAGAAGATAAATAAATCCCAGAAAAAAGAAAAGAAAAGAAAGTAGAGGCTGGGAGTTTGGGTCACCAGGGGATAATAAATAAAATAAATTTATTTAGCCCTAACTGGTTTCGCTCAGTGGATAGAGCGTCAGCCTGCGGACTCAAGGTTCGATTCCGGTCAAGGGCATGTATCTTGGTTGCAGGCACATCCCCAGTGGGGAGTGTGCAGGAGGCAGCTGATGGGTGTTTCTCTCTCATTGTTGTTTCTAACTCTCTATCCCTCTCCCTTCCTCTCTGTAAAAAATCAATAAAGTATATTAAAATAAATAAATAAATTTATTAATAAATTTATTTGATCATATAATAAAAGGGTAATATGCAAATTGACCCTAACAGCAGAACAACTGGGAATGACTGGTCACTATGACACACACTGACCACCAGGGGGCAGAAGCTCAATGCAGGAGTTGACCCCTGATGGTCAGTGCACTCCCACAGGGGGAGCTCTCCTCAGCCACAAGCCAGGTTGACGGCTGACAGCATGGCGGTGGTGGCGGGAGCCTCTCCTGCCACTACAGCAGCGCTAAGGATGTCTGATTACACCTTAGGCCTCCTCCCCACTGGCAAGTGGACATCCCCCGAGGGCTCCCCGGCTGCCAGAGGGATGTCTGACTGCCAGCTTAGGCCCAATCCCCCAGGAAGCGGGCCTAAGCCAGCAGGTGGACATCCCCCGAGGGGTCCCAGACTGCGAGAGGGCACAGGCCGGGCTGAGGGACCCCCCATGAGTGCACAAATTTTTGTGTACCGGGCCTCTAATATATATAATAAAATCAGTCCACTGTACACTTTAATGTTTACAAGTCTGTATTGCAACCAGGTTAGGAAACAAAAAAGGAAAACAGATGTAAACACTACACATTTCAGGAGAGTCTTAAAGCAAAGCCCAGGCTTCAGATTAGTAATGACCCAGACAACACCTGCAAGTCCTGGCACAGATGGGCAGGAGGAAATGACAGCTACAGAAGGGATCGAACCCTGGGAGACAGAAGTGATATGGATCTGGACACATTCACCCAGACACTGAGAGGTGAATCCATGAAGCTCAATGCAGTACCACTTACTGACCCTGAATCCCTTCCCAAAAGGGCTCAGTATGGGGACTGCAGGAGGGAGCAGAGGGCCGTGCACACCCACCAGCCCCAGCAACACAGCAACTGCCCAGAAAACTGGGGAGGCAGCAGTGCTGGGGTCCAGGCCCGAGGACTGAGGGAGGGGACGAGGGAGGGAGGAGAGTCCAGGCCAGGTCCCTGGTGAGGCTGTGAGTCTTACCCAGAGAGGACACAAGTGCAAAATTCTCCAGCATTACATGCAGATACAGGCGTCTCTGAGCCTCGTCCACCAGCCTCCATTCCTCCCGGGAGAAATGCACGGCCACATCCTCCAAGGTCACGCCGGCCTGTAATGACGGGGACAGAGGGAACTATGACCATTCTGTGCCTGAGAACCCACAGTCCCTCTCCCCACCCATCTGCCCCTCACGCCTCCTCCTCCCCAGCTCCCACCTCAGAGGAACCCCACAGGTGGGCACAGGTGCCAGGGGAGCCCACCCGACCCTCAGGGTCCCTTTAGGCATGAGGCTCTGCCCTCAGCAGCGCCAGGCAGGAGGGCACAGAGATGGAACCCAGTTCTGTTCCTGGCGGGCAGGGCCCCATCATGCCATGCCTTCCCCTCGGGGTCTCTAGATGGTGACAAGGCCCCACCAAGCTTCGGCTCAGGCTTCACCTGTCAGTCCCCAATGCTCGGCCCCGGAACCCTAACTCCCACTCCCCCCCAATGTGCACAGCCCTCTGCAGACTGTACCCCTCACACCTCCAGGCCCCAGGGGCAACCCCCTGCCATGCACTTGGGGAGACGGCGCTAGGAAGGCCTCCTCTGGGCATCTGACCTCCACCTCCCCCCCCCCTCCCCTGAAGCTCAGAGGTCGTGACTCCCTCCCACTCCTGTGTGGTCCTCCCTGTGCTCACCCCAGGCCCGAGGGCACCACGCCAGGCACAGGGACATTAACAAGGACCACATACCTTCAATTACATTTGCCGACCCCTTTGGGCATGACAGAACCTGACCCTCACGTATTTTATTAGCTTTGATGAGCCAGAACAATGACATAGCCAGGAATTATATTTTGCTTTTAGTCAAAACAATATCACACTTGTCACCTTTGTCACGGGCATAATATGCCGTTCATACCCCAACGGAATTTTTAAAAATTACCCCATTAAATAAATCAATTAAGTAGACTGGCTGTGCCAAATTTAGATGGACTGGCCGTGTGCATATTAAAATCTTTGTAACTTGTGGATTTCATTTAACTATATATTTTTCAAGTTATCTTAAGATGTTCATAAATTTGCCCTATCCGGCTTGGCTCAGTGGATAGAGCGTCAGCCTGTGGACTGAAGGGTCCCGGGTTCGATTCCGATCAAGGGCACAGGCCTGGGTTGCAGGCTATATCCCCAGTGTGGGGTATGCAGGAGGCAGCCGATCAATGATTCGCTCTCATCATTGATGTTTCTCTCTCTCTCTCTCTCTCTCCTTCTCCTTTCCTCTCTGAAATCAATAAAGAAATATATATAGAAATATCTATATATATCTATATAGATATTTCTATATATATTTTTTAAAAAGAAGATGTTCAGCCCTGACCGGTTTGGCTCAGTGGATAGAGCGTCGGCCTGCGGACTCAAGGGTCCCGGGTTCGATTCTGGTCAAGGGCATGTACCTTGGTTGCCGGAACATCCCCAGTAGAGGGTGTGCAGGAGGCAGCTGATCGATGGTTCTCTCTCATCGATGTTTCTAACTCTCTATCCCTCTCCCCTCCTCTCTGTAAAAAATCAATAAAATATATTTTTAAAAAATGTTCATAAATTTAACGTTTATTAAAGATCTGTTTTTGTGAAATCACGGGGATGGATAACAATAGCAAAGCATATGGGGGCTATGGTATCCTATTTGCATAATAAAACCCATTTAATAAAATTCCAAAAAAAAAAAGAGAAAAGGACCGCATCGGCCCAGGTCTCACCCACCAGGAACCGGAAACTCCCGCGCCCCCAGCGCGCACCCCCACATTCTGGGGGCTCCACGCGGGAGGGAGGCGGGAGCTCCATTCGGCTCCGGGATCCTCCGCCTCCAGCACCGTCCGGGCCGCGTCTCCTCCCGGAGCCTCAGCCGCCCGCTCGCCCGGGAGTCACGTGACCCCCGCCTCCCCCTTTCCCTTCGAGGCCCGGGGCCTGC